GGTCACCATCAATCAGAGAAATGTGCACAAGCTGATCATATACCCTGGGATGCCACTCCCTCATTTTGCCTTTAAAAATGCTTTGCTGAGGTCAGCTGGGGAGCTCAGGCTTTTTGAGACTAGCCGTCCAGGACTCCTTGCTTGGTGCCCCACAGTAAACACAGCACTTACCTCCACCTCAACTCAGAGTCAGTGGATTAGCTTCCCTACAAGTGGGTGAGCATACCCCAGTTGGTTCAGTAACAAAACCAATCCACATTCCACGTATAGCAGGATTTTCAGTTGCTATTTCAGAATCTATCATTATATCTTGAAATCTCACCTATCTAGTCATTACTAACTTTGCATGTTTCTAGAACCAGACTGGAATTCCTGGGCCTGCAGGATTTGTGTCAAGTTAAAAAAAATTGGCCGCAATCAAAGTGATGGACTGATAGGGGTGTGCTCTGAATAAAGCAAGTTTTATCTTTCAGAAATAGAAACAGTGGCTTGAAAAATTTAAGATCATCAAATGTCTTCCTTCTAAAAAGCATGCCATAAGGAGAAGGAGTGAAATTTCTATGGAACATCATATCTAGGTATCTGAAAGCACCGTCTTTTTGTGGTAGAAATGAGCAAAGGATGGCCATTTGTTTGACTTATTTTAGGAATCTTGTAGTCTGTTTAAAGTGGCTGATTTAAAAATCTTCGCATCAACTATGAAACTAAATCATTTTGAAAAGTTATTATGCATTGTTCTGGATTCTCAGAATTCTGTAGAAGCTGGTTTATTGTATTAATACTGGAATTGCCTTTTTATACCACCAGCTAACTGTGAAGACACTAACACAGTTTGGAGGAAAATTACTGGCACAATACTGGGGCCCTGGGTTTTTGACTTGTCTCCTGTGACTCTGAACTTTATGAAACAGTCACCTAAACATCTTGAATATAGGATTGCCTTAAATCCATGCTTTGCTAGCTTTTTTTTATGTTGACCCTATAGATGTTAAATCAGTTCAGTGGGTTGGGACCAACATTCAAAAGAAAATAACATGGAATGTGATTATAAAAGTGTTAGTCACTCAGTCCTGTCTGACTCTTTGCTACCCATGGACTGTAGCTCGCCAGGCTCCTCTGTCCATGGGATTTCCCAGGCAAGAATATTGGCGTGAGTATCCATTCCCTTCTCCAGGGGATCTTCCCAACCCAGGGATCAAGCTTGGGTCTCCTGCATTGCAGGCAGATTCTTTACCATCTGAGTCACCAGTGAAGCCCAAGGGTAAATAGATTTCATAAAATGTTTGTTACAAAGGGATAAATATGTGCCTAGCTGGAGAATTATATGAAGTAAAATTCTTTGGTATTGCTTTCAAAAATGTTTGAAAGTCATTTATACCAGGTGATTTCGGAAAGTGTCTCAGGGACCTCTCAAATATGGTTATGTCCATATTTAAAATTCACCAGGTGCTCCCATTTTTTAAGGAGGAAGCTCAGATATCTCAGAGTAGTAGCAAAACTCTTCACAATTCTTGTTTCTGAGATCATGCTCCCGAAGGACGTGGTGAACTCCCACGTTTCCTGTTTCTGCACTACCGTCTCACAGGTCCACGCCTTTGCTGACACTTCTCTCTCAGCATAAAATGCTCTCAGTAGACACAAAGCATTACCTTTGCTAGAAACCCTTCCAGATCCAACTATTCTTCATTGAATTGGCCACTCCTTTTCTTCCACCCCTAATATTATTTTACTGTCTTGTGTCATAGCCCATGACCACATACACTTGACTGCAGTTAATAATGGTTTAAAAATCTGTCCCACCCTGCTGACCTTGGAGACTTGGAGGTCAGGTCTTTGTATTATGAGAATTTGGGGTTTTTTCCCCTTTTCTTATACATGTGTACTCTGTTCTCCCTTGCTTTTAAAATAACTACTATTTTAAAGCAATGCATATTTATTGTAAGTGTCTCAAATGACATAAAAAAAGCAGTTGAGTGAGGGATAGATTGGGAGTTTGGGATTGACATGTGCACACTGCTATATTTAAAATAGATAACCAACAAGAATCTACTGTTTAGCACAGGGAACTCTGCTCAATATTATGTAACAGCCTAAACTGGAAAAGAATTTGAGAAGGAATAGGTACATGTTTAGGTATAACTGAGTCACTTTGCTTTACACCTGAAACTAACACATTATTAATCAATTATATTTCAATATAATATATATATATATATATTTTAAAAGGCAGTTGTAAAATCACCCTAAGTCTCACAACCCAAAGATGAACACTGTTAGTATCAAAACAGATGTCTTGTTCTGTCTGCAATTTCATAAAGAGGCAAGCATGTGCACACACACTGTGGTACACAAATAAATTCATGCACACACACACAATGTTATATAAATAAATTCATTTTTTAATATGACCAGTTTTTCCTTTCAACAATGTCAAGGGTACTTTCTAAGTCAATGATACACCCTTTTCATCATTTAAAATTGCTGATTGTTATTCTAAGTTATGGATTATTGGGGTTTTATTTTGTTTGCCATTTATCAGCATTAAGAGCAGTGATGGCAGACCTAACTTACTCCTCCTGAACTGTAAGCATCAATTAGAAGGCACCATTATTGTCCTTAGTGTCTTCCATTAACTAGGGAGTCCTGAGCTGACTCAGCAATTCTCTTCAAGGCCTTCTGTATTATCCCTCCTCCCCTTTATCCTTAGGCTGTGTCCTGTTCAAATCTGTGTGTATCAGAGTCTCCTACCTAACAGTGCGAGGTCTTTAGGGAAAGTTTCTCTTTCTTAACAGAATCATTGAGACGTCCCTGGTCAACCAGTGATTAAGGCTCCTTGCTTCCCATGCATGGGGTGTGGGTTCTATCCCTGGTTGGGGAACTAAGATCCCACATACACATTGTGGCCAAAAAAATTAGGAAAGAAAGAAAAAGGAATCGTATATAGTTAGACAGCATATTAAAAAGCAGAGACATTACTTTGCCAACAAAGGTTCGTCTAGTCAAGGCTATGGTTTTCCCAGTAGTCATGTCTGGATGTGAGAGTTGGACTATAAAGAAAGCTGAGTGCAGAAGAATTGATGCTTTTGAACTGTGGTGTTGGAGAAGACTCTTGAGAGTCCCTTGGACTGCAAAGAGATCCAACCAGTCCATCCTAAAGAAGATCAGTCCTGGGTGTTCATTGGAAGGACTGATGCTGAAGCTGAAACTCCAGTCCTTTGCCCACCTGATGCAGAGAGCTGACTCATTGGAAAAGACCCTAATGCTGAGAGGGATTGGGGGCAGGAGGAGAAGGGGATAACAGAGGATGAGATGGCTGGAAAGCATCACCAACTCGATGGACATGAGTTTGAGTAAATTCCAGGAGTTAGTGATAGACAGGGAGGCCTGGTGTGCTGTGGTTCATGGGGTCGCAAAGAGTCGGACACGACTGAGCGACTGATCTGAACTGAACTGAATTACTGAGTTACACAGTAAAAAATTGACTTTTGACAGTTTTCCCATTTAGGAACTAATAAAGTGGAATCATGCGTATATTTATTTAAAAATTTGAATCTCACCTCCCTAAAGCAGGATATGAATCTAGATTATCCTGACCCTCTTCTGTTTTGTGGACATGAAATTCAAGATGGTATATAATTGTTTTCAATGTTTAGTTCCATTTCACCAACCATTTCCACTCTTGGTAGGTATAAATTGCAAATACATTTTATTAGGAAGTATTTGCTCTACTCTCTGGAGCTGAAGTCAAGAACTACTTAGATATATTATTTTAATAAAAGGACCGTCTAGTAAAATTTTATAAAGTGCAAAGCTTAATTATAAGTAAAGCTTATTTGTGTCATCTTTAATATGGTCAGATTCAGGAACATATCTATCTCTTCAATGTAACAAGATAACCTGTGTATAGTCCATATTGTTCTTATGTATTTTCTTCTGCTTTTAGCCTGAGTTATAGCTCTCAGGGGTTCTTCATCCCTCAACTTGTATATTTCATGGTAGAGTGTAGTATGGTGCTAACCCAACCATTCTCTTAGACTTTTTGTGTCCATCTATATATTCTAAACTTGAATCCTATCTCACTGAGACTCAGGGACACTGTGTCATAATGTACATTTCCTTAGGTTTAAATATGAACCACATGCCATTGGTTACCCATGCTCTAGTTATGAGTATGTAGAAATCTGAGCAGTCAGTCACTTCCTGCTCCCTTCCTCAATTATTGCATGTAATTAACTTTTGTCTTTTGCATTGTTCTTTCCACCCGCACCTCTGCTCCTTAATAACACTTGTTCTCAACCAAGATAGACTTTACAAGGCACATTTGGCAATGTCTGAAGATATTTTTGATTATCACAATGCAAGGGTACTAATGACTTCTAAATGATAGAGGTCAGAATGCAATTTAACATCCCACAACACAGAATATAGGCCCACTCTCCATAACGTGTTAGCCAGTCCAAAATGTCAGTATTGCCTAGGTTGAGGAATCTTGCTATGTAGAAACTGATTTCATGTGTTTTGGCTGAACTTCAAATTTCACCTCTGTCTGAGATGTTAAGTTTGATATAATCTGGTGATTCAGACTAGCTGCTCGGTCACCAAAAATGGAAGGTTGTGTCTCACACCTCATCCACGTCGTATACTTGCGTTGAAGTGAGGCAGCCCTCATCATTAAAAATTTTCCCTCCTTGGTGAGTGTTATGCGACCAGTTATACACAATAGGGAATGAGGGAAACTGAGGCATATTTCTAAGCAAAGAATAAACCGGAAGTATGAGTAGGTAAGGAAGTATGAAGTGAAGTGAAGTGACTCAGTCGTGTCCGACTCTTTGCGACCCCGTGGACTGCAGCCCACCAGGTATGATTATCCTCAAATACTCTCTGCTCCAAAGTGGCATTTGTTGTTCTGGAAGTTGCATTTGCAAATATGTTAAGAAAAACACTGTGGGCAGCTTAACTCTAACACAAATTTCCTTTTCCCCCTCCTTCTTGTTTTTCAGACATTTCACATTTTCAAGAACAAAATGATTTAAAAGGATTACTAGAAAATCTCCATCAAAATATCCAAGCCAAAAAGAGAAAGAATGTAGAAATCATGTGGCTGGCTGCAACGGTAGGCACTCTCCTGTCAAATATTACTCCTTGTCACCATGATGATCAGTCAGCAGGCATGTTGGGTATCTGCTCTGCGGAGTCCAACTTCTACACTTTGGGTTACCAGATGTCACTCTCCATCGTCCAAGAGATTAGGCATCTAGCTTATCAGTAGACTAGAACACAAGATAGAAGATGTGTTCAACAAGAAAAAATTCCTATTCATTGGCTTTTCTTATAAATTCAGGGTGTGTTTGATACTTTGAGGTTAAAATCAAGTGTCTTTGATTTTCTTGATATTGTGTGTTGCAATGTCAATTGCCCATCTCAATAAGGTCTTGAGCTGATGCCCTAGAGAAGTATGGTTTCAACAGAATGTGATTATCAGATCTCTGACTCACAGCCTCGGTAGGGCTCCTGGACATAGTGTTTTGTTAATGAGCTTGTAAATGCTCTTGTTCATCTAGATATTGCCATAGAATTTATCACTGATGGATGGCCCTTGGGGTAATAAACTATATTTTGTAGGGTCTTTTCTTATTTAATGGCACCCTCAAGGTCAAAGACAGACTTGCTTTCCCACCCCAGGTTTCTGTAAGACTGAGGGGGGAGAAAATTATGCCTGTATTTTTAAGCTCTTATCTGGCAGCCATTCAGGCATAGCTCACATGAACGTATGAATTTTGTTAAACATTCAGGCCCAGAGATCCTTTCACTAGGAAAGGATCTTTTCATCAGGAAGGACACGCTTTGGAGATATTTTTGATGCATGCCATATTTGTACTTACTGCATATACAGGGCTGCTTATGTAATTTGGAGTTCAATGTAACAGATCTTCTCCTGTGTGCTATTCATTTTCTATCAATAGCACCTAAAACAAAGGCTTTCCCCTACTGCAAACGGTTCAATTATAGTCCAATATTACGTACTCTCTTCTGGGAAAAAGGAATGGATAATTTACCATGAGTATATATAAAATAATTTACCAAGAACAAGGCAGAGGGAAAGCTGCTTCGGTTTTCCTTCATGCCCTCTTGGAGCCCCAGGGAAGAACATCAAAGGTAACAGTATGAAAGATTGCTTTTGAGCAGCTCATTTACACTGGTCCCATTTAGCATCATCCTGCATTACATGAAGGTTGTTTTTAATAGTTCTTTCTCCCATGTCTGCTCTTTACATCTTCAAAGACTACTATGGTTGCTAATTCTCAGAAAAATTTCACAAAGACAGGTCATAAGTTATTTTTGCAACATTACTAATGACATGATAGCATAAAAGGAGTTTGACCATTTCCCAAGGCTATCTGACAACTTAGGAACATATACATATGTCGTTATATACATATTGTGCAGTCATGTAAATTGGTAAATTAAGGATGCATAGAACCACAAATGTATGTTTTTCCTAGTACATGTAGTTTTCTTATTTGAACATATAAAGAAATTTCCCATAAATCCTACATGTTTCTGAAAATGTTTTTGAAATGTATATACCAGTCAAATATGGCTTACTCACAACTTCCCACTGAATGAATGAATGTTTGCCTGCCTTGATAAATGTACACCACCCATAGTGTGCAAATTTGACATTCTATAGGAATATTGGCTTAACTATAAATAGAATGTCTGTAGAGTGATACATGAGTTTCAGTATCCTCTTTGTAAACCATGGACCTTGGTATTACTCTTCAAGAAATATAGAAATTCCCTTCAACATCTTCCACAAAAATTTTTATTTTTGTGTCTATTTCTTCTTTAAAACAATGAAATACTGCTTTTTCTTTTTTACTGTTTTACATTCTAATTAAAAATGCAAAGCTATTTGATTTTATCTTAATGAATTTTTAAAGCTGAAAATGAGAACTTAAAAATACCAAACACTAAATTAAGCTAATGTTAAATTAAATGTTAAATTAAGCTCATTTAGCTCTAAATACAGAAATGAAGACCCAACCAGTCAGCTTTGAAGGAATTGCCCAAGCTTTCTCTTTGTTTTAAATTTGACACATGAAATATCCTTAATAGGATAGCTGCATATAATTGTGACAGTGCATTTTAAAGAATATTCACTCTTTCTAAAGATCATCTCTCATAAGTGACCATTGAGGTCTATATACTGTTATTATAAATTTAGTAAAGCTTTTGTTATTTTATGTGAAAAATTTTGAAATACTGTTTATTTAAAAGCATTCGAGTTTTCTAGATGAAAAAAGATTATATGTTGAAATTATGCTCTCACATTTCTCTAGCCACGTTAAAGATGGTGAGAAAGTATTTACCTAAGGTCTATTAAGGAGTTGTAAATCCTAAAGCTAAGTATTAGTCATATTTAAATCATGGTAAAAACCCTTGATGAACTGTATTATTATACCCTCTCTTCAAAGCAGGCAACTGTTAAGGCTTCCTTGATGGCAAATAATAAAGCAGACCTGTATTTCATCACATTAAATGTCTCTTAAGTGCATGTTGATTAACATTGTTGATGCTACATTGATGATTGGTATCTCATATCAGAGCATTACCAGGGCTAGGGAAGAAAAAAGAATGGAGTGATTCACCTGTTACCTAGAAGGCAATGAGCCCATAAATTATTGCTACTCAGAGATTCTTCTTCTGGCTTACATCAGAATAACAAGAAAAAAAAGAGTTACAGAGAGAAGCAGAATGGGACAGAATTTAAACACTTGGTCCTTGTTAGATAGAGTGATGTTAGCACCCTGGCTCTGCTCTGTTTGCATAAGCCATCTTACCTATCTAAAGTTCAGTTTTCTCATCTGTAAAATAAGATGAACGTGCTTTCCTCCAGGGTTCATGTGCAGTTAAATTAGAAGAGCAGATCTATGTGAAATTTATTAGCATTATACCAGTACACAGTGGATATGCAATTAACAGTGGCCATTGTGAGCGTCCTAGTTCTTGTTAGTTGCATTGATGAGTGGTTTCCTTATCTGCTGCACTTGGCACCATGTAGATGTTTAAAGTCTCATAATATCCCACAGAGATTAGCAAAGGTTATTTCAAACATATGTGAGACGATATTAGCTCTTTAAGATTCAAAGCAGGTGGCTTATCCAGGAAATACAGGTTTTTTTCCCCCCTTCACTAATAAGAGGTTACTTCTGAGCTGTGATTATTATCATTAGCCCCTGCAGCTTAGATACCCTCTCAGAGCATCGCTGCCTCTGAGGAATATTTACCATCTTACATGCCTTCAACAGCCCCACACCTCATGTACAAAGAGCTAAATAAATTAAATCTATTCCATCAACTTTTAAAATGAAAAGGTATTATTTTTCCATTCCACAGGGCATATTGAAACAGTTGACTCTCATAAATTAGCATAAATTTGGTAAGTTTAGACTATGAGTATTTAGAGGACTCTGACGCTTGAGAGTAATCTACAAATAAACAAGAAACCATGTCTGCGTCTGTTACAGATTTGTCGCAAACTAAATGGCATTCGTTTCACCTGTTGTAAAAGTGCCAAAGACAGGACGTCGATGTCTGTGACGCTTGAACAGTGCTCAATCCTGAGAGATGAGCATCAGTTACACAAGGACTTCTTTATCCGAGCACTGGATTGTATGAGAAGGTAGCCCACATGTTTTCAACTTCTTTCTTTTTAAAAAATTTTTATTGAAGTGTACTTGATTTACAATATTGTGTTAATTTCTGTTATACAGCAAAATTATTTAGTTATACATATATATATATATATATTCATTTCATATTCTTTTCCATTATGGTTTATCACAGGATATTGAATATAGTTCCAAGTGCTGTACAGTAAGACCTTATTTTTTCTTTTATGGTTATTTTAAGGTTTTTATTTTTTTCTGTAATACATATTTTACTGGAGAAGCAAGCATTTAGTAACTTCACTGCATTTCCTTGACTTCAAGCTCATGAAATGAAAGAGAAAATAATTTTAAGTATTTCCTCTGTTCATTTTAGGCAATAAAAAAATGTGGCCAGATTTTGATCATGTGAATGGAGGATATATTTCATTACCAGATTTAAACCCAAGTTGAAGGGTTCAGGTTCTTTCATATATAACACTTGAAGAGTACAGTTCCTTTATGTACAAGTCATTATGTGTACACATAAAATAAAACTAAGGCTTTATCCAAACAAATCAACTATCCAAAAAATGGCAACAAACGGGTCATCCTACCATGGCTTATAGGGTCTTCCCATCTTTAACCTCTTTCCTAAAAATTATTTTCACATCACTCATCATAAAGATGGGATAATGGATCCTTTAAAATGGAGAATTAATATGATTACTCTGCCGACATTTAAAATGTTCTGCCTGAAGTCATGTTTCCTGATTCATTTCTACAGTAATTAAATCTAAAATATAAGCCATAATGGGAAGGAAGAAGTGCCTCTTTCCCAGGGTCTATCAGCAAGGACATACGTTAATTAGAAATTTTAGTGAACTTATCTCTTTCCTACAAAGACTGACTCAAAAGCACAACAGGAAACATGGGACAGCCTCCCAGATTGCAAAAAGGAATGTCATATGATGCACTGAAAAGGCTGCTTCTTATCTGGCATGTCATTAGCTTCACTTTTTTTTTAACGGCTGTGGTCTTTCCGTGGTGAGGTGATGCTTGCCTGTGCTCTTTCTGTATTGTATGTTTTCTGAGAGGTTTCTGAAGCCCTCTCTTTTACCCCATTTCATGTCTCTTGGCATTTTCTTTGTTCAGTGGAGTTCTACCATAATTTTTGGATAAATGTATGAGGATGTCTTTGAGGCCTGACATGAGCATCTCAGCCATACACACACGTTTGGTTATTAGAAAAGACTCTTTTCAAAAATTATCTCTCAGCACTCATAGGGAAGATTCAGGATCTGAGTATGAAACCTTCTGTTGTGCATTTGAGAAGTACAAATATCACTATGGATGGAACAAAGATGCCAGTGTGGAGAGCAGGGCACATGCTATTCCAGGTCAGAGACCGACTGGAATGAGTCAACCAACATAAAATAATTTGGAAGCTGAATTTGTTACTTGTTTATTTAAGGCAGAGGTAAGAGAGGACCCTTAAATTAGAAAGGTATTTTTTCCAACTGGTAAATAAAGGATGTATCCGTCATATACGTATGCTGAAATATAAAACTAAATATTTTGGTAAAGCATACAGGCTGGAGGAACTAACATTATACGTCAGCATGTTTGCTAATGACATAACATTTATGGGGATTCAGTTTTGGATTGTGACCTAAAGTAAGGCACTAGAAATTTAATCCCAAAATACTGAAGACTGTGACTTCCATATCTCCACTGCTTTGGTGGCTTTATATATGTGTGTGTGTGTGTGTGTGTGTGTGTGTGTGTGTGTGTGTGTCTGTATATATATATGTAGATTTCTAACCTGACACATTTATCCTTTGGGTTTTGTACATGTGAGTACTGTGTGGCAGTGTGAGGACTTGTCTGTGTGTGTGTTTAAGGGAAATGAGAAATACTATTGTCTTAAATAACTTCCATACTTCCCCTCTTTGGGAACCATCTTACAAGCCCATAGCTTTATAAGCTCTGGCCACAGGGCAGAGTAGACGGAAGGAAGGGACTTGGAAGCCAGCCGTCCTGAGTTTGAACTGAGGTCATGTGCCACTTAGTAGCCAAGAGGAAGTTAATCTTATCCTGCCTTACTACCCGAGGCAAGTTGGTACCTCAGTCTTCTCCTTATGTAAAACAAATATGCTAATAATAATAGCCCTTCGTAGGAAGGTCTCAAGGATTAAATGAACTGATATGTGTTACATGATTAGAACAATGCTTGTGAACAATCACTGTGTGGTATTTGTTAGAAAAATAAACATCAAGGGTCTTGACCTTCCTGAGACAATCAAGTCTAGGCAATTATGAGCCTTGTATATTTTTGTGAATATATTATGACATATGGTTTGACTCCAATATCATATATTAATATAAAACCTTATAAATAAGGTTTCTCATGCAATGTTTTATCTATTTAAGAAAATAAGCTATTTCAATACCACCTTGAAAATGTACATGTGCTTACAAATGCTATGCTAATTATGAGTGGATTGCATTCATTAAAGTTAGTCTAGATAGGTTTCTTATAAATATTTTATGTTAATGTATATTGTTGTATGCCCTTACTAATAGTCATAGAATTTGAGATTAAGGCATCACCTTAGAAATTTAGTCAAATCTGCTTCACCGTAAGAATAAAGAAACAGAACTCGGTAGAGTATTTTGTCAGAGACTACTCAGAAAGTACTAGAGCTTCCACTAAAACACAAATGCCTTAGTTATATTTTTTTCCTGTGCTGTACAGTGAGACCTTGTTTGCCTTAGTTATATTTAATTTTATTTTCTTTATACCAAGTAAAACAAAATGCTGTCACTTAAAATTATTTTGTTATGTATTTGACTACTTCGCTTCTGTTATTCAAAATATTACTTAAATCATATGTCATAAAAATTACATACTTTTAGAAATTTGAGACTGTGTACCAGACCAGAGTCATCTGACCAAAATCTGAGATTTAAAGAGAAAACTCTAGTTCTAGAATACAAACTTTTTGCTTTCAACCTTATCATGTTCACTGTCGTATTACTACCTTGGCAATGAGCACAGTGTCTGGTTCTGTGTGTGTGTGTGTGTGTGTGTGTGTGTGTGTGTGTGTGTGTCTGTGTGCTCAGTCGCGTCTGACAGTTTGCAACCCATGGATTATAGTCTGCCAGACTCCACTGTCCATGGAATTCTTCAGGGAGGAATACTGGAGTGAGTTGCTATTTCCTTCTCCAGGGGATTGTCCCAACCGAGGAACTTAATTGGCATCTCTTATGTCTCCTGTATTGGCAGGTGGATTCTTTGCCACTGGTGCCACCTGCGAAGTCTGGTCCAGATTGAAATAAATATAAACAGTGGCTGAATAAATGAAGAACAATATAAATATTAATGTGAATGCATTCTGTTGCCTTCCGTTTTTCAGAACTGTGTAGCAACTTTTCCATCTCTTTTTAAAATTATGTTTTCAATTACATTTTGAAGCTGTAGTTCAGGTTTTTTTAATGTCTAAGCCTTATTTCCTGGGGTTGCATTTGGCTGTCTGTAATTTAGTGTCAGTCATTAATTAGACAGAAGTTGCCTTCAAACAGTTCTATCCAGTTAGAGGCTTTGTTGATGTATCTTGTGTGTTAATTTGGAAATATATTCCAGTTCAAGAATTGTTGTATCCATCGTACCTTTTCTTCCCACCAGGCCTTTTTAGGTTCTACTAGTCAACCCAAGATGTGTGGAAATTGATCAAAGCCCTCCATGGCTCTCTTGATGTCCAGGATTTCCTTTCCTATTGCATTCATAACTAGTCCACTTGCTCTGGGGAGTAGCCCAAGTGGAAATGCAGCCTCAGGCAGCTGTGAGGATGGCTGGAAGCATTTGTTTGCACGGCAACCCGCTCCAGGATTCTTGCCTGGAGAATCCCATGGACAGAGGAGCCTGGCAGGCTACATAGGGTCAGAAAGAGTTGGACGTGACTAAAGCGACCTTAGCACAAGCGCAAGGTTACTAAGGCTTCTGACAGTGCTGGGTTGTGTGATTTTCCACTCCTCTTCAAATGCATTCAGAGCCTGGGGCAGCAAAGTTGTTGGTTTCCATGGTGACCGCACTCTGGTGGAGGGACGTGAGTGGGAGCAGCCCCAGATAGGAAGACCATAACCTGGCTCTCTTCTTCCCTACCACTCAGCAATTTTCCAGTTAGAAACTCTTTTCCACTCATTGCTTGACTTCGGCTGATTATTAGGGTCCTTAAATGATTGGTTTGGACAATGTTTTTCGGCATCATAGTTTTCGGAGGAGGACGAAGATTTGTAGAGCTCTTCGCTCTGCCACCTGATCGGAAGTCCTACCCTTCAGATGGTGACTTTTAGATGCACATCGGAACTGCTTCAGAGGCATTTAAAAACTACTTATATTTGGACTGTGCACAGTTTATCATTGAGACAGAGACAGAATTTTTAAGAACTTTATAAATATTCTAGGACACAATCCTGGATTAAAAAAAACTAGCATTTTAATGGAGTTTGATTATATTTTAAAGATATTAAATTATTTTATTTAATATCAGTTGTGGTTTATTTTATGTTTGAATTATTCTAACCACCTTTCAGGCTATTTACTCTGGATATTTTTAAAAGTTTACCAGGGTTATAATACCATTGCTGTTTTGCTAGTTTTATTTTTTTCCCTATCTATATTAAAGTTTACTTTTTTATACTGCTTATTGCTGTAAGTTTCAAATTACTTATGGATGAGAGAAGTGTTATCGATAAATAAAGCTGCATCTCCCTGCTTGTTCAGAAGCCCTTTCACCAGAATAAACTCTATGAGAGTATGGATTTTTTTTTTCTTGTTCACCTATATATCTCCAGTACTAGAATAAAGTCTAGTTATGGTAGGTTCTCAGTAAATATTCAATGAATGAGTGAATGAATAACATAAGTTTCTAAAATGTTCAGGTCCTATCTGTTAGGAAGTTTTGCACATACATAGGCAGATGGAAATAAGCAAGGGAAATTATCGTTCAGTTGTGACATATTTATAAGCAGA